GTCACGCAGCAAGTGAATGCTGGAGCTGGGACTAGAACCCAGGTTCCCTGACTCCCAGTGTCCTTGAAACCAGACCATACTGTTTCCAAAGAGGCATCCCAGACTGGCTGTGAGCGCAAGTTACAGACGGACAATGTTAGATGAGGTTTGGGTGTGGTGGCATTTCCCGCAGACACGGAAAGATGGAACCTGAGGTGTTGCCTGGTTGGTTTTGGCGTGCGGGTGTATGTGTTAGTTGCAATGGGTGTGTCTGACTTCCTGGCCTTCCACTTATTAGTGCGTTCTGGACTGGGCCACTGCAGCAAGCAGGGCCAGGCGGTCAGGAGGTCATGACGTATGGGCATAGAAAAGGAACTCTGTCTGCTCAGTTCCAATCGGCCTGCCAGTCTTTGGGAGTTCGGGCAAACTAGGGAAGCAGGACTTTGGGACAGAGTCAGCTGCCCACCATAGGCAAGTCTGCTTAATCTTTTTTTATTATATATATATATATATATATATATATATATATATATATATATATACACACATCTCTGTATATATATAACATTTAATTTATTTTTTAAATTTTTTACTGGCCAGCATCAGCAAGTTGTGTTCATTTCATTTCTCAGCGGGACAGCTGCCCTTCTCCTTTGCTCTCTCTCTCGCTCTCTCTTTCTCTCTCTCACTCTGTCCCTTTCACTGAGTCTCTGGCTTGGAATGGAGAACCGTAACTCATACGTTCCCTTTCATGAAAAGGAGCCGCCAAGAGCAGTGTCCGCAACAGGCAGCCATGGCTCCACAGACGAGCCACAGCCCCGCTTCTGCCTTCCGGAGGAGTGCCTTGCTCGGAAGGGGTCTCCCCGGGGCTTTGGGATTGCTCTTGCCTGCATTTCTCCTGAAATGCTGCGTCAGTAGAAATAAGCCCGAGTGAGTTTGCCCTTTCAAGGCCTTAGCCACAAGTGCCTTCGGACTAAGCAGCTTGGTGCAGTAGCTCAGGCAGAGAACTCTAAAGCATCCGTTCAAGCATCTGAAACAAACGAATCAGCCAGTGAAATCCCATCTGTTAGCGTCTGTTCTCCTCCGACATTAAAAAGGAAAACATATATATATATATATATATATATATATTTTAAAAAGGAGCAGTGCTTTGGGTGGAATAATATTTAAAAAAAATCTTACTGCCTTTTAGATTAAGGTCACATGATTGACAGGACCACAGAGGTCAGGTCTTTGGAGGATCCTGTTTTCCTCTGTCTTTGTGCACCATGCCTCTATGAGAAGGCCATAGTAAGGGACACTGAAGACTAAAGCTGATGGCTACTTGTGTAACACCCACACCTCCCAACCACCCCCACCTTTGGCCACGGCACAGCCGTTAAAGCCGTTCAACTTAAACCCCTAATCCTGCGGAGTTATAAACGATGGGCTCCTTAAACCAAACTCCGAAACAGAAGAATAGCTGCCCAGGATTCCCTGCGGTCTATTCAGGCGGCCTCTCAAATGGGGTGCATAGAGGACAGTCTCCTCAGACTCCGTGAGAGCAAGCAAAAGGCTTGTGCATCAAAACAAAGAGAGATGAGCAAAACTTTTCCCACTGCGGGATCTTTTGCTATCAGTGGGACACTAGAGTCATCAGAGCACGTGACATTACTGTCACGGCACTCTGGGACCCTCTAGCTGCAGGAAAAAGTGCTCAACTTGCAGAAAGGGGATAGCACTACTACGATGATGACTACTACTTGCCAAAAAGGGGACTGAAGATTTCTGTGGCTGCACGACTATGCTCCTTTATTTATTTTTTTATTTTTTGTTCCTTGTGGAAACTTGCAGGTCGCTTGGATGCAGCAACATGGATGAAGAGCAAATGCGGAGTCAAATTAAAGGGAATATGTATATGTCAGATGAGTGAGAGAAAACCAAAAGGCTGGATGCAGCTTCTCTCTGGCTCCGGCATAGAAGGGCTAGAGAGAAGTTTAGTTTCAATGATGCGGATGGAGGAGTGGAGTGGGTGAATGGATTGAAAGTGCACACTCATTCAGACCACAGAGGCCAGAGGACAGGTGCCGGCTCCTTCCCACGCAGAGGCAGGAGCACCTTCAGTTATCACCCACCGCAGGGAAAATTAACACTGCAGTTGGTCTGAACGCAGGCGGATCAGGCTGAGCCATGACATGGAATGGGGGTGCAGAGCTTGGGTGCCAGTTCTGGAGAGCTCTTCAGACAGACCTCACTCTGCAGGCGAGCACACACAAGCTTGGCTGCTCACTTCTGCTCACTCAGTAATGCCACACTCCGCGTCCCATTACAACCAGCCTGGGAGCCTTGATCTGGCCCGTCCCGCCCGGCCCTGCCCTCCCCACAGTACCCTGCTGTCAGAAGCATATTTCCTTCTCAGCCAAACAAGGCCACCCTCAGCAGCTGTCTCAAGGATGTGTCTCGTCCTAGCTGCAGGCACTGCCTTCCTCCCACGACCCCTCCCATTTCCCTAACTTTTACATCAGCCATGATATTTCACAATGCAGAAAAGGAGGCCTCCTTAGGCACCAATTAAATGTAGAGAAACAAATCACATTCAAAGCCATTTCTACAGCAGAGGAAGCCAAAAATGTAATTAGAATTATCCATCAAGGAGACAAACATTTTCTATCTTTAATGCTTGTTTCAGAATCAAATGACTTTTTCAGAATTTAACTGTCAAGAGATTATGAACACAACTTAATTTTCTATGCTGTGTACTTAATATAAATTACAGGCCTAGCCTCAATTCTCAATAGAACCGTGGGAGAATGTATTTGTATCATCTAACTAGACATATTTGACTTCTGCCAATGAAATGAAACTCTCTAAATAACAAAGTGAAAAGTCTTAAACAGGAGAAAACCTGTTTTCATTTTAGCATAATGTGGTCATCTTTCACCCAAAATCTTTATAGCAGACTGTTAATACCACCTGAACCCTCAGCTCAAGGTTCAGTAAACTTCACATGCAAAACGTGGGGACTACTTAGGCCACGTGTTCTTTATGCTATTTCAGAATACCAAAACACAGCATCTGGCCACCAGGGTGAGCCTTGGTGCTTCAGAAAGGCATAACTCACCCCAGTGCGCGCACGCACGCGCGCGCGCGCACACACACACACACACACGCACGCACACACACACACACCCTCCACTAACACCTGAAGAGTCTCTTAGCTCACAGACAAACCGACTGCCACAAATTGTGACGTAAGCTGTAGCAGAGACTGAGTCCCCTCTTGAAAGCCAAGTTTTGATCCCATCCACTAGACTTCTAGAGCAGAACCCACAGCACTCAGAAATGCAGCCAGCCTCTCCGACGGGCCATAAGGAGATGTGAGGAGGGACAACCTTCAGCACACGCTAATTCTCCACTGGCGGCCACCCTAGTCTGGCTGCCACCAGAAATGGATAGACCAGGAACCTACTCATATTTGCAAACTCAACTTTTCAGTTTTTGTCATCTGAAGCTACTTGTCTACTTGTGAACTGTAATAATCTTACAGTTAGAGCTGTCATTTTTGCAAACCAGATGAGCAGGAGGTGAAAGGCCTTAAATCAAAGCCTATGGCCTGAGGTGGCAGCGCACCCAATTGCTGGGCCTATGCCTCACTGGGTTACCAAAAGGTCACATGATCAGAGAATGAAAGAACACAGACTGGCTTGAGTAGGTCTACCTGCCCCACCAGCAAGATATGCCTGTCAGCCCCTGGGATCTCACAAGTCAGCTGGTCACTGTCCACCCACAAGGTGATCTACTAACTTGCGACACATAAGCACACCTCACATTCTTCATTCACCAACATCCTTATTCATACTCTTTCTCACAGCAAGATCATGCTCAGGCCGTGGCTTCCATGGTTATCAATCCTCTGAACACGAAACAATGCTGGGATTTTGTTCCTAGAACAAGGTGCACGACTGTTCCAAGCTGTACCGTATCAACACCTACAAGCCACATTTCAGAACCGTGAGAACGGGGACATGAAAGTCACTTTCATGGGAACTTTTTAAAAAGCAAGGAAAATGTCTTTGTTTACGATGGACTTGAGGCACTCCAGGTAGCATGACAGCAGGGCTTCGAGGCAGCGTGCCAGCTTCTGTACTTCCCCTCTCTCTGCTTGTGACGGCTACCTGTCCAGCTCTCTTTGAACACCACCAGCCCCTAAACCACCCTCCCGAGCGCCCCTGACTACACGGTCTAGCATGTCTCATTGGGATGCCATGCCTGCTTCCCACCCAGGTCTCTGGGCATCTCTGTGAATCTATTGCCTGTGGATGCCTGAGCCATGACTGGACCAGATATTCCTAAGTGCCAGACTCACACTCCAGGGGCCTGGTAGTTGCGTGTAGGTGCATTTGTGGGGAGGTCAGAAGAAGGAGTAGGAAGAAGGGAGGTGGGCCAGAGGTTGGCCTGTGTGTGTAGCACTTGCACAGCTGGCCTTACTGCCACCAGGAGACAGCACACAGAGACAGACACACCACACATACGTGCACACGGTACATACTAGGGGGTGATGAATGTTATTGAAATGGACCAAAAACCAACAAGGCGTGGGGTAAGAAACAAACAGAAACAAAACAAAGCACCTGCGTTCAGATGGAAAGCTGTTCGCTGGGCAGCCAGGCCCTGAGCCCAGGGCTATGGGGGGGGAGGGGAACCTGCCTCGAGGGTGCTACCTTTGGAGAAGACCCAGGTGGCTAGCGTGTGAGGTGAGCATTCACTCTTTTCCCGACACGGCTGTCCTGGGGGGCCTCACACATGCACCAGCTGGTGATAGGTGCGAGGTTCAATGGAGAAGACAAGAAGAGGGGGAGGGGGAGGACTTACCTTGTGGCCCAGAAATGGCTAGTCCACAGTGGGAGGGGACAGTGTGCAGTATCTCAGATTAAACAAAATCCTTGTGGCACTGCTCACCCATGAATAGTCAGCTCTCTAGTTTTCAAATTAAAGCTGGTGACATTGTTAGTGAAAGAGAACGGAACAAGAGGACACTTCACCTGCAGGGCAATTGTTGTGTTCTTCGAAGGGTACTTCCCCACCAGGCCTTGCTCTTTCCGTTTCTTGAATTTCCTAAAGTAGTCCTGTATCAGGAAAGTGGCATAGAACTTCCCCACGGTTACCTCATCATCTAAACGGAGAGACCAGACACAGCTCTCCCGAATCAGCACATTTGGACCAAGAGCCTAAACCCTCACTTCTGGCTGGGGCAGGGGCGGGGCGGGACAGTGCGCAGAAGGCACTGGGCTCTCAGTCTATTACACAGGTTTCTCAGTCTAGCAAGAAGCAAAGCTTTGCAAAGCAGGTAAGGCTCAAGGTTAGAGTCAGTTAAATAAACTGATCCTTAAAGTTGCAGAGAGTAATGAATATTTATCACGAGTTAAATAAAAATAGCGTATTAGTAACAATATGGAACGCCACCTTGGTTATTTACTTAAAATAAACATTACGAAACAGAAAGGCCTTGCAGGCCACATTTTTCACCCTGTGCATAGAGATTTGCATGTGTAATTACCATAAGCATCAAGTGCAATTAAGCATCCAAATCCCTTTGTCACAAGATGGAGACCTAGAAAGGTGACGAATGAGCTTAGAAGGAGAGGAAGGTCGGAACAGAGACTGCAGATCCAGCTCTCTCACACTCCCCCATTGTCTGCCAATAAACTCTGAAACCATTTCTTGGTTTGGAATTCAGAACTGCTGGATTTCTGCATTGCAATGACAGCTCCAACTAACCTGAGCACTAAGCAGGCTTTATTTCTGCTCTGTTCAGAAACAACCTCCAGCATGTATCACTGGGGAATCAGAACCCTGCTGACAACTTTGAAAATGATGCATGAGGCAGAATAGAGGCTCTGACCATCTCGTGGTAAACCACCACGGACATGCCGGTATATCCTGTGTCCCCCATCCTCACAGTTGATGCTACCAGATCTGTAGTGTGCTGAGGTGCCGGGTAGAAGGTGGCAAGGCTACATTAGCAGCCTAGCTTGTGTGGGTCTGTGTTGGGGGTTGCAGGCTACCTGGAAAGCCCTGCAGAAGCCAAGGAACAGCTGTTGGTACTCAAGCTTCTGGTCAAACTGTCCTTGCAAGAGTCCCGTGGACTTGAGGTAAGACGATCAACTTGAGTGAGTTTGTATTCTCCCCTACAAAACGGAGTCCCATCTCAGAAGAGCTTAAGATGTTTAAGAGAAGGTGAATAAAGCGCTAGAACCCTGCTATGGGCTGTCCTACTGTCAAGTGCCCATTAGTCACTACTCCTTCAAACCAAGCCAACAGTATCACTCACTGAAATGGATGCTAGACCATAGGAGGCTTAGGGTCATTGCGACCCACTATATCTAAGAGAGGTAGAGGTTACACGACAGGCCCAGGTCAATTGGCCAAGACCTAAGCCCAGAGCCCTCTCCTGCACCAACCCTACCTGTTTACAGAGAGTCTGGCTCTGCCCACACCCAGCACCTTCCTTTCTTTGATCTGCCTTTCCAGTGATATAAGCCTAGCCCTGTCCTTCCTAGCTCTTTCCTAGTAGGCCAGTGGCTGCTGAGCCAGTGTATCCAAGGAGCCCAGAATCTATGCCACCTTTAACAACACAGATGGTTTTTGTTCTTCAGGGTCCTATGAGCCCTGGGAGACTCCCTGACTCTCATAGAGGCCCATCTTACTTTATACTAGGATGTTTCTAGTAAAAAAAAGTACTGATCGCCCTTTCTCTTCCACTCTAGAGCAGCAGGACAGCACTCAAAGGTGACACGATAATCTCCATTGAGATAAAACAGCAGTACCAAGAGACATGGCCCAAACAAGGCCTATAAAGAACAAGAAAAGCTAAAGCTTAATCAGGGCAGGAAAGGAAAAGAGAGAAAAGCAATGAACATGGTGAGACCATCCGGGAACAGTAGAACACAAAGGGAATAACAAGGAACCAGAGAGATGGCTCAAGGATGAGGACCCAAAGGCAGGAGGATTCTGGGGTTGAGGAGCTTCTAAAGAGAAAGGGGAAGTCCATGAACTGGCAGAGATGGCAAGAGAGCACTGAAAACCCTGGCAAGATTCCACACTGAGACACTGCAGCCCCATGACGAAGAATGGTCAAACTACAGACAAAGAGCAGAGAAAAAGATGCTCCCAGCATGTTCTCCATAGCTAGTTCCTGACATCATCTTTCCATCAGGCTCATGATGAGCAGTGACAGCTCAGCTCAGATCCCAGTAGCAAAGCTGCTGAGACAAGCATCCTGTTCTGCTGCCTTCACCAGTTATGAAATCTGACATTTCAAGGGCACAGGCCGACTGCTCATTCTGCTGCTCTCTAGCCACACTGTACTGTGGGAGACTACAGTGAATACTGTGAATCACCCATCTGTTTGCTCCAAGGTATATATCACAGTGTCATTTCTGAAGTATGCCATGATGGGGGAAAAGTTGGAAACCACTGGCCTGCTGGGAGATAAGAGAAGAAGAGGAAAAGGAAGAGGAGGAGGAAGAAGAGAAGAGAAGAGAAGAGAAGAGAAGAGAAGAGAAGAGAAGAGAAGAGA